ACGTTGAATATTATTTATGATTTTAACTTTATACACAAGTGCCAAAATACTATAATTATAGACTTATAATGTTTTACTGTGAGGCTGTTAAATTTCTTAAAGATAAACTAACTACATTTAGAATTATAGTATTTACAGTTTCACGGTGGTTACAAAATCTACAATCCTACCTACACAGGTTTAATGTGAAAATTTCCAAAGACATTTGCCTTTCAACTAGAATATGTCAACCACTTTTAGAAAAAAATTATCAAAACTTATAAACTTAAGTGGAAAAATTATTTTTAGTATATAGATACTTCAAGTAAAACAAGAATACAAAAGGAAAACCATTTAGTTGTACAGCTATTAACATGTTTATCATAACTTCTTTTAGTTTTTATTTAAAAAAAAAGGGGGGTTTCATTACTGTACAGTAAAGAACTAAAATTTGTTTATTAATAGTTATAGGAATACATGTACAAGCTACCTGTGGAGTTCCAAATCGAAATACTCCAGAAGGCTGTGCTGAAGAAGACAAGCCAAACTGAAAGGTTGGAGTTGAGTTGACATTAAAACCCGAAGTATTGTTGTTAGACAAAGAAGGCTTAGACTCTGGTTGAGGTTGTCCAAAAAGAGGCACATTACTTGATGCTTCACATGCTGGTAGAGCAACACCAAAAGTTGGTGCACCAGCTTGGACTTTTGATGGTGTTTCAGATGATTCATGTCTGAATGCTGGCTTTTCACTGGGGAAAGTGGCACCAAGTTTCGGTACAGATGAAACTGTTCCAAAAGGTGGTGCACCAGCTTGGATCTTTGATGGTGTTTCAGATGATTCATGTCTGAATGCTGGCTTTTCACTGGGGAAAGTGGCACCAAGTTTCGGCACAGATGAAACTGCTCCAAAAGCTGGTGTTCTTGCTGAATCAATTGTACCAAGCTTTGGTGTTGCACTACCAAAAGTGGGTGCTCCAGATGAACTTCCACCTCCAAATGCTAACGTGGCAGGTCCTTGTGAACCAAATGTAAACAAGTTAGGTGAAGCTGTTGAACCAAAGAATACAGATGATGTTGTAGAAGTACCAAATGAAAACGTAGCTGGTTTGCTTGTACTATTCATTCCTTTAAAAAAAGTAATAAAAATATATCACATCATCCATTTTAGTAATATAAAACTTTTTAAGAACTCTTTCTTTATTGTAAAGCTGCTATTACCATTATAACTCAGCTACACCCTCATAAAAATAGTAAGATATTACTTTTATTCCATGGATTCTTGTTATTACTATTTTTCTCTTTTGAACACATCTACAAATAAGAAAGCTTATAAAAATTAAAATAAAATCAACTATTATAGTCTAGTGACTGTTTCTGTATAAGTAAAAATGTACAAGAGAGCATAAATCAGTATACATAAAACATATACTTAAACATCTATGTAATAATGTACAGTGGGAAGATAGTCAGGAATACCCAGTAAATCTACATCTAAAAAAGTGTGATGAAGGCCATCAATAGCCTTCGTTTTTCTTTATGTGTGGTAAGGAAAAAAGCCTTAAATTAAATGAAAGCTGGTAATAATTCAACTTCACCAACAGTACACCATATGAATTAGCATGAATAGTTATTTAAAGTCATTTCTACAGCCAAACACCATATTTAACATCATAACAATTACAGGGAAGGCAGGGTGTTTTAATATACTTTCAAATATAGAGGGTAAATATTAATAGTAGATGCACAAGGTTTTATTATGTTATACATACTGGAAGTTTACTATTATGGGGTTTGGAACACCAACTTAGAAGACAAGTTCTACTGATCACTCAATATATAGCAGCATATCTTCTGGTTTTCATTCACTCTTTTCCCCTTTTGTTTCGATAGAAGTAACTACCTTCAGATGTTGAATAGTAATTTTACACGTGGATTATTGTAGACTTTAATGCCTATACCTGCTCTTAACATGTTTAGTTTTAATTGTATTCTATATGTGAGGATTGCAAATAGAAGTTAAATCGATAGTGTATTATCTCACTTGTGTGGGAATTCTATTTAATTTCTCTCTTGCTAGGATAAATTTAATGATTCACACATTGTGGTTTATAACAGTTTTTATCTGTGTCTTTTTATGTCCGATATTATAAATTTCTAGCTTAGCTGTTTGAATATTTTGTTTCTGAAAATATCATCAAAGGGATAGTGGCTTTTGTTGTATTATGCTCACTCAATTTTTGATGTTAAACCTAATATGACTATTTTTTTTAAGTATGTTTTCCTACACCAGGGTTTTCCCCTGGCCTTTTTTTTTATTATTATTATTATTGCCTATGAGCAGCAATGCACTTATGTTTTTGTTGTTAAGCACTTCTTTCTTTTCTGGGGAGAATCTATTTCATAATCAATCACTAATTCCCATAATTTTGTAGTCTGATCTGTATTTCATTAACATCATGAGTTACATACTAATAACATGAGCCCTTAATAGTTTCATTTTAGAATGTGGCTACAACAGGGTCTAAGTGCCAAACATAATGATACTGGAAATTCTAGCAACATGGTTACATTGAAAAAAATCTACCACTTTTTGACAACAAAGGAAACAAACCTTGCAATATAATATCATATTCTTTTAAGTTTGTTGCAAAAGAAATAATCAAATTTAACATTAAAATACTCAGAAATCATTTTTTCTGTATTTGAAGAACATTTAGTCATTCATTTTTAGCACACTAGTTTCATGAATATTCTGGTTTTTAGAGTTACTTTAAAATCTCAGTAATTACTTTCTGGCTTTAAAAAGCTAATCAAGTATTGTTTTTTAAGTTGTAACTTAAATCAAAAGCAAAACCTTTGTATACCTGAACTATTTCCAAAGAAAAAATTAGCTCCACCAGAACCTCCGGCATCTTTTTTTTCAGTGTTCATTGTAAATACTGGTACATTGGGTACTGAAGAACTCCCTGTGCCGCTAAAAGTCATTGATGTACTGGACTTATCAAGAAAACCAAAACTTGGCGCAACTGGTGTTGTGGAAGTCACCAATAAATTTTCTTTTTTTGTGCTGCTGAAAACTGTTAGAAATACTTGTCATCAATACAACATTTAAGTTCACAGACTCCACACTTTAACTCAAAAGAAAGAACTGTATTAATCAATTTGTAAGACAGAACAACATCTTGTTAAAACAATTTTATTAGTGATGATTTAGTCCCATTCTACAGGTTGAATGAACAAGGTTGTAAGTGTAAAAAATTAAAAACTTGTAAAAGCGATACGTATAACAAGTGAAACAAAAGAATAATACACCTGAGTCTACGGATAATTTAATGTTGCCGTATTGTATCATATATATCACTTACAAAAACACAAAAATTATGACAACTATGTACACAAATTATATAAAATTAAATATAAACTTTAGAAATATAACTTGCATCTTAAGGCAAGTTACTCAAACTAACTCAGAAAAATTCCATCAGCTGTCAAACATTTTCAGAAGCCTGGAAAGACACCCAGTTATAACACCAAAGAAAAGTTCAGTCAGCTAGTAAAAGTCCTTAGCTTGAGAAGACACATACATCTAAATGATAAAAGTCAGTCAGCTAGCCAATACAACCAGAACACAGTTGTCCCTTGTTCTTTGTGTATTAGTACCAATGCACTTTCCTGATCACCAACAGATTAAAGTATATGCTTGATACTTCTTTTGGCAAGTAAATGTGCTACCTAACACCTACTTATTATGTACAAGTGAGTATTCTCTGCATACCTAAAACAGTCTACACTAAGCAGTAAAACAAGAGCAGTGCAAACACTTGACACTATGCGAATAATGGTCTATGATGTTTCTATCTCAGTACTTTCAGGAATGAACTGGGGCACTAGCCTCACTAACAAGTCCAGGCTGAAATATTGCTCTAAAGATTGAAATGAAATGTTTATGTCAGTGCCTTCTGGTATACAATTATGCCAGCCCATGGTGTGTAAACTAAGTCTTTCCACGCTCTGCATGATTTCCAACAATCAATCTTACAGGGTAAAGAAAGAAAGAAAACAATTTTGAGACAGGGCTACAAATTTCAACAAGTACCATCATTATGTCACCGTGACAACTCAAACTAGCCCAGATTAGAACAAGGTTCATGTTTACATAAGAAAAACAATAATTATAAAATCATTCTCATGAAGTGAAGCACAGCATGAACTGGAATTGCTGATCTTTGTAGTTGATTAAGAAGATATTAATAAGCAAGGGATGAACACTTGAGAATTTCAAGAGTCTAGATGATAGATATATGCAAATATTACTTGTGTTTGAGTGTATATACAGTAAATAAAAACTAGAGCTGACTACTCCTGGCCACATCACAATCATGCCATTTATGTGGATTTAAAAAAAAAATATATATATATACATTAAAACAAAGAATCTTATCAACATTCACAAAAAACCTGGTTCTATGAAAGATCAGACCCAAGCAGCAATAGTATTTTAACAACCAGAAATCTAAAGAAAGACTCAAAGCTTTCATTTTAAAAAACTGTAAAATTACTCCCCCACCAAAAAAGAACTGAACTAGCTGCAGGCATATGCTAGCCTCGTGCTTCGATTCAGTTATTTGTTTTAACTATACAATGGGCTATATGTGCTATGCCGACTGTGTTGTAATTTTAATTCATGTACACAGCATTTTATGATCAATTCCAAAAGCACTATTTATTGTATACTCACAAGTTTATTTACCTATTAAATACACTTACAACATATGCATTTTTAGATCAGAAACAATTTTAATAAAAGATGTGTTATGAAAGATTGAAAATAGGTAAATAAACACGACATACCGAGTGAAGTATTTTCTTTCTTCTTTTCACTTGGGACTCCAAAACTAAATCCACTCTTAGGTTTCTCTTCAGGCTTAGATAAGGCAATACTATCTTGAGTTGACAATCTGTTAAGAGGGAAACTAAAACCTCCAATTGCTTTTTTATCTTCCTTATTGATGCAACCATCAAATTCTAACTGTTTTGCTTGTGAACCCAGACCCGACACTGTTGCTTGAACAGGTAAACCAAATGATAATTTTGTCTGTTGTGTACTAACACTTGTAACCATAAGACCTGAAGCAGAAGTTTTATCCTCTGATGCTGCATCTGTAGACTTAGAGCTATTTAATGTAATTGTCTCATCTGTAGATTTTGTCTTTGATGAAACACTTTCCTGCGTGTTATGTATTCCAGAAGATATTGAGATTTCCTTATTGGAAGATGGTATGCCAAACTTAAATTCAGTTGTAGTACAGCTAGTGGTTGTTACAGGGACACCAAACTTAAATTCGGTTGTAGCACAGCTAGTGGTTGTTATAGGGACACCAAACTTAAATTCGGTTGTAGTACAGCTAGTGGTTGTTACAGGGGCACCAAACGAGAATGAACTCTGCTGTGCTGTGGAAGAAGCTGGAAGAATGGTCGGAGCACAAAAATTAAAACTACATTTAGATGTAGTGTTAACGTTTCCAGAATTACTTGGTGAAACAAATTTAAAATTACTTGCTGAGGAACTAGAAGAAACTGATGCCCCAAATTTGAAACCAGAAAAGGTGTCTTTCTTTTCTGTAAATAGGAAAGACAAAAAAGTATTAAATAAACTAAACATTTTAGATTTTATACTTGCCCAACTGAGTATCTTTTGAGAGATAAATCTCCTAAACATTTTTCAAATTAAACAACATTCAGCTTCAAATTGTTATTAACTACAATATTTCAAGGTATGTAAAGAGACAAAAAAAGTTCAGCTTTAAAAAGTCAAAATATAACTCACTTTAGAAAATATAAATAATAGGGAAAGAATATAATACAGTAAAAACAGTTCAATGAACCTAGAGAAAGGTGTATACATTAAAAACTTAAATAACAAACTAAAGAAAAATTACTCGTTCATTTTTTATTTCTCAGGAAACCACTGTCACATTAAGATAAGAACAAACTTTACAATAAACACAAAGTCATTCAAATGTAATTCGTTCATTATCAGTTAGGCTGACCCAGATCACCCAACAAAAATAAAGTAGGTTCCCAAAATTTTTATTAAACAGAGACAAAAACAAATTAATTTTTATGGATTTCAAATACTGATTTTAGAAAACCAACAAATTATCACTTATCACAAAACTAATGTAATTTCATTGGACTTCTAAATAAAGTAAATGTAGATTAAAAAAAAAGAATTATATTCTGTGCAATGAATTAGTCAGTGAACTCCGTGATTTCGGAGGGAACTACACTCTTATCTGCGATAAAATTTACAAATGACTAACAGAATCAAATAGGTTAAACAATTATCTTTCTAATGGTTAGAAACATGCACTGATAAAGAGACAGACATGGCTAAGAAAGTGGCTTGAGAAGAATGCAGGGTTAGGAGGGGGCTACTCTGGTGGGTTGGCTAAATATATTAATATCTCGTAAAATGTGGAAAGTTTTTATTTTACATTCTAGCTTGTCAATATCTGAAGTTTGAGATTATAATTGGTTAGACACCACAAAAGTGAAATAATAAGCATAATATAACATTAATTACACGAATAAGAGTATGCATGCGTCATGATTCAAAAGACTGAAATTTAGTTAATTTTTTTGTTTTTTTAATATTAGGAGTACCAGAAAGTAAAATTAAATGTTTGTAATTATGTGGTTTTGTTTCTTTTCAGGCGAATTTGATTTAACAGGTAAAAGAAACCTTCTTGTTCATCAATTTTCTGTTAACAAAAAATTTTCTTCTAACCAGAAAAAAATTACATCCTACATTTATAACGAGAATCACATTTGACATTGCACGTTCTACGAGTTTCATAAAGGCAAAAGAGGGAACCAAAACATTTGTGGGGTTTATAAAGATGCTTTGAAAGTTCACAAATACCAGTGGTGGCTCAGAAAATTTAGGTCAGATGATTTTGAATTGTCAGACTGCCATTGTTCAGGGAGACCAGTAGAGATTGGACAATGACCTCCTGAGGTAAGAGCTTGAATCGGACATCATGACATGCACACTTTTACCCATCCACTGCGAAAGGGTTAATAAAAGGTTTGAAAGTATGATGTTTTCAAAATTGTTTATTCCTTTGTTCTTTCATAGTTAATCGCATGTTTTCAAGAATGATGACTTTGAAGAATTGTAAGATATACATACATAGGGTAAATAAAAATATTAACCCATCATTTACTCAGAAAATCTCAAAACTTTGAAAACGAAACTTCATTTTTATGAAACGACGAGGCACTTTTACAGAAATGGTGAAAAACAATTCAAGCACCAACTAAAGTATGCTCAGCTCATAACGTTACGAATGATAAATTATTGAGCTATACCTCTACTATGAGATGAACAAATCTTATTGATAAAAATCAATTAAAGATTAACAAAAAAGTAGAAAGAATTAATATAGCCTGGGGAAGAAAGAAAAAAAAACTGAACAAGATGTTTTGCAGTGAAAACATCCAACTGTTTATATTATCGTTAACCCCTTCGATACGGGTCACAGGTGAAAGGCCATGTCATCTCGGTTGTTGACTCACATTCAAAATTTTATCAAACTACTATTTCATAAATTTATGTCAATAAGTTTATGATTCAAATTTTAGTATTATATATTACTCAATTTCTTAATTTAAAAGCAAATATTAAAAAAACAGATGGTATGTTGAATGCAGCACTGGTTCAAATTAGATGATTGTGAAGTCAAAATACTAAGTCTATAGTTTTATACGAATTAGAAACTCAAATTACCGATATTGACAAGCTAGAATATAAAATAAGAGCATCTTATCTTTTCAGTTTGCTAAGATATTGCTCATGTAATAAATCAAACACAGTAGAACCCCCACCCACCTCTTTCCATTTTTGGAAATGCTCCCTTATATAAACATACTTCTATATATATGACATGAATAACCAATCAGAAGCCTAGAATGTCCCCCTAGTATCTTTCTCACCCATTTTAATGAACTTGGCACCATTTCTTTCCTTTGAACCAATATTTCAATAAGGCAGGGTGTATTTAGTCTGCTTCAAATTTCATATTTTTTAGACTAAAATACAACTTAGTTACTAAACTTGATAAATTATAGTGGAATTCAATGGTATTAATGTAGTAATCTAGGATTTTTTTTGGTTATATATATATATATATATATATATATATAATGT